CCCCCCCCCCTCAAGAAAGGAAAAAAGAAATCACTCCTATTTTAGTTTATAAATCCCAATAAAAACATGAAAGAATTTGTCTCGACACAGTGGAATCAGACACTCGTCAATTTCTGGGCATGTGGAGTTATTGGTATCATCTTAAAGCTTGTTCATTTGTCTTGCCTTCGATGAAAAAAGTACCCATTTGTCTTGAGTACATGTGAAGATATTTGCGAGTGAATGAGGTGGGATCGCCTGGTTTCCGAGGTTAAATTAGTGAAATAATGGCCACCAAAGTTTGGTTATTTACAAAGCCTCAGAGTCCGTGGAAACTGACAATTTACATTTTTTATGCCTTTAATCAATGTTTTTCAATATAATTCACATTGAAATGGGTTCTTAAATGGACAAAGAAGGCGTTTAGCTAAAAAAACAACCCACAATTTCGATTTTAAAAATTGCCAAACCAGTGGAAAATTGTAAGTCTTTTTACTTTCATTATTTGTGAGGCAGCATGATGGAATCAGGCTCTCGTCAAAATAATCAAAGTTAAGGAACTTGCATTTTTCCACAGGTTTATGAATTTTAATAAAATTTTTGTTTTTTGGCTCAACACCTTTCATGCCCATTTTTCTGAAAAACGTTGATTATAGGCACACAAAAATGTAAATTTTCAGTTACCACTGACTCTTAAGCTAAGGAAATACCTCATCTTTGGCGGCCATTTTTTCATAATTTTATCTCTGAAAACAGATGACCCCCTCCTCCTTCATTCGCAAATATCTCGACTTGTATTCAAGATAAATGGATATTTTTTGCAACCAAAATTAGACAAGTGAACAAGCTTTAAGATGATACCAATAACTCAACATGCCCAAAATTTGACCGAGTGCCTGATATCACCACAATGCCTCACATTTTTGTTCATTGTTTCAGAGGCCTTGTCTTTGGTGTCAGAAGCAGCCCTACATATCGAGGCCACACTACGAAATATGGTATGTTTTAAAATCAATAATACATGTATTATTTAAACTATTTGAGTGATATATATGTGTGTGTTTGTGTTGGGGGGGAGGGGAATTGTGGTGGTTGGCGCGTGGTTGGAGGGCGCAATTGGTGTATGTCCTACTTCTTTACTTTCCCTCTGTTGTTTCTGTCTGTGTGGGTGGTTGGAGGGTGCTACAGATAGGTCCTACTTCTTTACTTTCCCTCTGTTGTTTCTGTCTGTGTGGGTGGTTGGAGGGTGCTACAGATAGGTCCTACTTCTTTACTTTCCCTCTGTTGTTTCTGTCTTTCTGTCTCTTACTTTTTCCCAGCACTAAATGACTATTGTTGTGTCGATGTGCTTCTCTTTACTCAAACAAACAGTTGTGGTGGTGTGTTTGGGTTACTATGTTTGTATGTGTGGCTCACTTGG